TACGAACCCTTTGTACGAACAAAAGTAAGAGAAATTTAGGATAAGAATACGAACATGTTCTTGCATGAGGCCCATTGAGTGAATTTAGTTTAGGCTAGATTTAGGGTTCGGTATGTACTGGTGTGGTTAGTTTTAAGGTAAGGGGTCAGGGTTAGGCTCTAAATGACCGGTAAATGAATGGAAGTCAATGCAAAGTCCCTATGAGGATAGAAGAACAAACGTCAATGCAAAGTCCCTATGAGGATAGAAGAACAAACGTGTGTTTGTGGAGAGGGTATGTATGTGTGTTTGTGAGGTTGGCAAAATACCTAACGAACCACTGGTCAGCTTTGAATGAAATTCTCAAAAAATCATCGTGTGCATCTATCAACTGAATAACTGCTGGAGCCAACCCTATTCAAGATTGCTACCTCAGTTAAGTAACCTTAAGAAACATATAATTAGCTATAACTAAGTCAGTTTTACAGATATTGAGCTAAAATTTGTTGTAGTAGTACAACATCCCCAAAGCATACTTTGAGTATAAATTAAGTAATATTGTGTATCATCTTTACTTAAAACAATGGCAACTTTTCAACAATGTTTTCTGGGGAAAATAGCTTACAGACCTGAGGAAGGATCTTAAACTCTTGGAAAGTAATCATTGGATGTATGTCTAACATTTAGTCCACCCAGTTCAAGATGGTCACCACAGCTACTTTAAAACAGCTTAAACTCAGAATTAATGTACTACTTGCTGAGTCATCTTCATGATAAAATCTCAGCTCTTACATCGCACACAATGTTATATGCTAATGCACATGAGGACATTTATAAGGGTTTACCAAATCAAAAGAGGATTTTAGTTTAAAAGTCTGACGTAAAAGGTGGTGGGTGAGATTTTGTGAAATATATTGTCAACACTGAATGTTCTCATACGAAGGTAGAATTTGTGCTCTGCTTTTGACCAATTACATGAGGTACGAGCATATATGTAAGCTAAGGGATTGGGTGTTTTACACTACGACACGTAGGCATGGTGGGGATTTGAACCTGTGACTTTCTGGTAGTCGACTGCCCTACCACTGCACCACAGCCATCCTGTGTGCATTGCTTTAAGGAATGCTAAGCCTTTACTATTCATTTATACTCATCAAAGCGTTAATTTTTTTAAAATAAAATAATCTTGTCAAACTAGTTCCTGCTGTGTGTGTTTATWTTTTTTGTAGAAGTTTTTGTGATTTATTGTGTAAAGTGACCTGAAGGCACAAATAAAAGGTGTCAGGCATCAAACTGAAAACACCCAATTGTTCACTCCTCATGCAGTCTTAACAACTATAATTTTGTATTAAAAAAAATCAAAACAACAACAAGAATAAAGTCTACAGATCTGCAGTTGCTTTTGGCCTGCTGATACTCAAAGGCGTCAGGTAAATTTAGAACCGGAGGTTTCGGACCCTGCTCCGAGTCTTCCTGCGAGCTGAAAACAAAGACCTCCACTTTGCTCATTCTTCTCCACACCCTTCTGTAAACTGAGCGGTGTGAGCTGCAGGGAAGGTGAACAATAAACAATAACCTATTTATAACTTGAGTTTAAGGAGAAAAACTCAGTGCTTTGTTGCCTTCCTGCGTCCCCCGCTCTGAAGCCACTAAGATGATAAAAATCTGCTTTAAAGTATTTTCCTGTTTCTTTAAAGGGCTGGTCTGGAGCACATGTGTCGAATGAGAGGTGGGAAGCAGAGAAAAATATTCAAACCCAACTGTAAAATTCCATCATAACTACAACTAAAAGGCCTGGACTGAACTTGACTGAAAATATACATAAAATGATAAGAAAACAAGTGCTAAATCTCTAGCATTAGAGTCAAATATATGGTGGTAAATAGTGGTCTGATTTTCGATTTTTAATTATACAAGTCCAGGTTATTTTAACAAAACACTTTCCATGTGTTAAAAAGTAACATGTCACAAAGCTTGACAGTAAAAAGGCATACATAATTTAACTTTGAGAATGTAGCAAAACAGCACACAAAATACTAAAAAAAATCTAAAAAAATACTTTTGAAGCTGATGCAGATCAAAACTCCATTAACTTTATAACAATAAAAGCTAAGAAGAAAACACACATTTTGTTATAAACTCTATAAGAAGCGTAATAATAACCCAGATAAAAACAGTTAAACCTGCTGCCAGTGGTTCATGGTCACCACCAACACATCTGTCTGTCACTCCACGACAGCTTTCTTAAGAGAGCCAACATTAAAAGTAAGCCTCAGTTACAGTTTTCACACAGCAACTGGTGGTCTGAGTCTTAACAGTGGGAGACATACTGGGTGAATGAAAACAAAAGTTTCTACGATTTAATAATCTAGTAAATGTGTGCAGGTAAGAAGAGTTTGCAAAACAGTTCAGCTCAAAGGTTAGTGGTTGACATCATGGCATCACACTGAGTGAAACATTCTGTGATTTAAAACCACCAAAATGATCTAACCTAAACTTTGTGTGAAAACTGAAGATAATATGAGAGTTCAGACATGTACAGTTGAACTTTCTGTGAGCTATTTTAATTTTCAATAATGTTTTTGTAGTAGGGCTGAGTTATAGAGCTCCATAGGGCTGGGTTTTCTACCTTTCACCAAAATCCTATTGTTGTCTGTGAGGAAATTTGTTTATATACTACAGAATATTGCCTATTTCAGTGGTTCCTAAACTTTTTATCTTCTGATCCACAAACTATCCATGGCAAAAACTTGTGATCCCAAATATTACTGGTCTGAGTACACAACCTTCATT